AACTAGACTTTCATTGTCACTTAATCACAAAATAAACTTCCAAGATTTAAAATCCATTTTTAAATCACTGCAGCAAATTTAAGACAACACACAATGCACATTTGGGGAGTGGAGGCGCAGAGGTTAGAGAAGGTTCAAGCCCTGGTGCCGACAACATCAAAAATGTGGGTGGGGTATGTGAAGCACCTACACCTGCCCCCACCCTCATTCGCCCCACTATGGGCCCACGAGCAAGGCCCTTAACCCCCACCATCTGCTCCCTAAACAGGTCTCTCTTGAAAATGAGTTCTTGTGGCTCAATGAGACTACCTGGATAAATAAAGGGTAAATGAAATAAACATTTATTGACGTGTATTAAACATATACTGTATAAATAGCAAATGTATTTTCTTCCAATAGTTGTCTATATTTAATGCAGAGGAACCTAGATGTGGACAGAAAACCCAGAAGATGGCTGGTGTGGGGAAAGATAACGTTTAATCCAAAAATGAAATGAAAGGCACGGCAGGAAAGAAACCCAAAGTAAACAAGTACACTTTCTGTCACGAGGCTGACGCCCTGTCTACTTCTAAAACTAGGTATACAACTTTCCTTATTGATCAATCCTATAGTTAGGGTTGGCTTGGACTTCCTGACTCATCCCTTACTTCTGCTGCTTTAGGTTTAGACTACTTTTTACTCGCCCTCCTCTCCATGTTTATATTTGTAATAATTTCCATCAAGAATACGTAGTTTTCTTTGTCTTTCGTCCCTTAGAAACCACACCCGGACCCATTCTGTCTTCCTGTCCTCTCTAACCCCAGCCAGTGGAGGCGGATGTCCGTCTGTCTAAAGCCTGGTTCTGCTGGAGGTTTGTTCCTGGTAAAAAGAGTTATTCCTTTCTGCTGTTGCCAATCTGCTGCCCAGGATGGGCGATTAAGGTGAAATGAAAATACGTTTACAGTGAATACCGTACTTTCCGGTCTATAAGCCGCTACTTTTTTCCACAGGCTTTGAAACCCGCGGCTTATACAACGCTGCGGTTAATTTAAGATAAAATGGAACTTTATTGATCCCACAGGAAATTGTGTGGATTTCTTTTCTTTCTTTTTTGACGGGCTAACGAGTTTTCTGCCACCAAAAACATTTAGCTTTGGCACACCCGGGCGCTCAGATACAATACACGTCTCTCTTGGGGGTTCTCATGACTGAATGAGACTACCTGCATAAATAAAGGTTAAAAAATATCTGACCAATGAAATTTACGAACAGTTCATAGTGGACCAATGAAAAGAGGAGGGGAGAATGGGGAGGTGGAGAATCCCCCTTCTGCATGTGCAGAGCATGTGAGGGCGGGACTCACATGCTCACAGAACAACTTTTTCTCCACGGAGCAGGGGAACAGATTGAGCAGGAGGAGTACGGATAGCGATAAATGACTTCCTGGTAGGCTTCTGTATATTTTTTTTAACCAGCCGTGTTAATCACACTGTTTAGAATAAAACACTTAGTCTACATATTTGTATGTTACCCGTACGTATTATAGCATTCTGTGGTTCATTGTGATCGACTGTCGGTCACATGGCCTTAGGGAGGGATTATGGGTAAAATTGATGTTTTTAATCATTTCGGTTAGCTGTTTAGGGTTGTTCTTTTAGTGATTAGTCTGTTCTTGTTAGCCTAGTTTGTGTGTTCATTATGTGTTAGGCCATTAAGTAGAGTACCCATGAGGGAGGGAGATAGTTGTCATGAAGTCCGGTGGGGTTCACTCTGTACAACAAGAGCTGCACATCTCGCTCAGTAACCGTGTGCTGTCACTCACGTTACAACGTGTGGCATATATATGTATAAGACTGTTTTTGTTTTTTTATTTAGCGTCCATCCATCCATCATCTTCCGCTTGTTCCGAAGTCGGGTCGCGGGGGCAGCAGCTTGAGCAGGGAGGCCCAAACATCTCTTTCCACAGCCGCCTCTTCCAGCTCTTCTGTGGGGACTCCAAGGAGTTCCCAGGCCAACCGAGAGACGTCTCTCCAGCGTATCCGGGGTCTTCCCTGGGGTTTCCTCCCAGTCAGACATGCCCGAAGCACCTCCTTAGGGTGCCATCATCCTTGATAGCACTTTATCTTTTGAATCTCATGTCAGTAACATTACTTGGTCTGCATATTTTCCTCTTCAAACCATCAACCATCTCCGCTCATTTCTTACCCCCACCAGCACAGCCATCCTTATCAATGCTCTAGTCACCTCTCGATTTGACTACTGTAACTCCCTCCTCTCAGCTTTTCGTCTCAAAATCATCCATAAAATTCAGCTTGTCCAAAACACAGCTGCTCCAATCATCACCAGAACTACTTCGAAGGAACACATCACCCCTATCCTTAAACATCTTCGCTGGTTACCCATAAAATATCACATCAACTTCAAGATACTCCTCCTCACTTTCAAAGCTCTCCATAACTTGGCACCTCTGTACCTCACTGATCCCCAAGTCTTCGCTCCTCCTTATTCATTTTTCTTGTTACACCTCCTGCCCGCAAAGCCCCTCGTCTCTGGGATGCTCTTCCACACCACATCCGTAATTCTGATTCTCTGCCCTTATTTAAATCTAACCTTAAAACTCACTTTTTCAAACTTGCTTATTCTGTTTAATGTCATTACGTAGTCTACCATTAACTGTGTTTGATTTTATTGACATCTATCTTTTATTGTTTTATTGTTTTTATCTTTCTATTTCTTGTTAGGTGACAATAAGTGATATGAAAGGTGCCTTCAAATAAAATGTATTATTATTATTATTATTAGGGAGGCGTTCAGGGAGCATCCTTACCAGAAGTCTGAACCACCTCAACTGGCTCCTCTTGATTATTAGTTTACTATTAAAGCAGAATTATTTATTTAGTGTGCGCGGCTTATAGTCAGGTGCGCTCTATAGTCCGGAAATTATGGTCGTCATTTTATTTTCCACAAGTTATACCGGTAACTAAAGCGAGCAAGAAAGAACTGTTCTGACAAGTAAATAAGGAAAAACTGGACGTATAAATACACAGAGGGGCAACGAGACACAAGAAGCAGAGGAGATAAATTACATATCAGGACCAGGTGGGTGGAGAGATGCTAAAGGCAAACTAAACAAATAAAACAAGAAGTTACCAAAAAACATGTGGATGGAATCATAACCCAAAAATGGAATACTGTAGACTAAACCAAAATAAAAACAGAAATCTTCATACCATAATGTAAAATAAACAGTTCCCTTAGTGAGACAAATTCTGCAAGATTCAAATGATTTTTAGGTTTTAAGTTGCAGTAAAAAAAAAAAACATTTACAGTTAACTTTTTAAAACAGCTCTGATGAGTTTATGATTTTGCTGAAAAACAACTTGGGAGGATTTTCAAACTGTTTTTGAAAAGAACGCGTAAATGACTGAAGCTGCAATTATTAATTTTAATGTGGTTTTCTCAAAAATCACAAGTTAATTGTCCCATCTTCCCAAGATAACCAAGCTGCTTTCATCCTATGAAGATAAGATGTTGTTGAGAGACAACAGTCTTAAAAACAGATGTGAAAATGAGTGTCTCTCATGATATATCCCGTTTCATCATCACGGTTCTGACACTTGGTGACAATCCATGAAAATGACTTGATCAGAGAGGGAAGTTCTTTCGTTTTCAGCTTGAATTATTTGGACTGTACTGAATTATAATGGGGAAAAAAAACAGCTTGTAGTTATTACAACAAAATGCTTTTCAAAGTAAAAATCCATAGATCTTCTATAAGACATTATCTCGTTAAACAAGCTCTGTGTTCTCATGATAATATAAATACTATAACGTATTTTGAGAAAGCAAGCATTGTTATCTAGAGGAAAGATATTTAATATTTTATTGAAATATGATGTAAATGAGATAAATATGAAACCAACTAAAAAGGCCTGGTAATCTCTGACAAAAACTCATACATCTTTCCCACCAAACAAAATCTCTTAAACGTGAATATTTCTTAATTTGAATTCTGAATTGTTTGTTTTTTTGAATCCAGTCAGATTTAGCCAACCTACTAACTTTACCTTAATTAAGTATTAAAT